TTACCATTTAAAAGAGAAGATCCAAAGCAATCGAAATATATCAAAATCTCATTAGCTAATTGAATCAGTTCTTGGCGAGAATTTTGGAAGGTTTCGGATCATCTCTCTTGAATGGTGAAAGCCGAAGATCTCTATGATGTTCCTATCAAAAGTTATTCAAAAAAAAACAATGGAGCACATTATATTTTGAAATAAGAAGTAGAACAAATCAAAGAATCATTAAAACATTTTTTTTTAAATTGGCATCAGCTGTTTCTAATTTTCGTTGAGCTTTTTCATAATTATCTCTTAGTTCAGTCATTGTTTGACGAACAGTTGACTTATATTAAAAATGAATCAATAAATAAGCAAATACTTGTTTATCTCTAGCTTGTTCAATAATTTTTTAAAATTGTTCAAGCCATCCTTTTCATTTTGAATCAATAAAGTCATGTATTTGAATTAAATCATCAACTGTTTGATTTAAAATCGATAAAGTACCATTTGTTCTATATGGAGAACGATAACAACGTGCAACATCAATCAAACGAAATTCTTTCAATGATTTTGATACATCCTTATCAATACTTTTATTTAACTTACAAAATCTTTATTTATTTTCCAAAGATCAGACAATACTTTACAAGAATCTGGAATGTAACGAACTTGATTGTATTAATCAGGTACATCATCACTTCTATATTGATAAATATAAAAAAAAAAAAATATTTTCATTTTTTATTTTCGAATTTTGTTTGTTTAACCATATCGATAAATATCCTATTCGAATAAATTTATTTTCAAAACGTTTTTATAAGGATCGATTAAATTTATTTCCTTATAAATTTTTAATCGATAATTCGAACTATTTTATCATTATTTCATCTTATAGAACGTTTCTATCTAGCAGTTAAAAACAGATTTTCGATAAAACACATTCGAATCAGATGAAATATTAATCATTTGTTAGCGATTGTTCAGTCGAGAGAAATAAATTGTGTCAAAACTGTTCAGGTCAATATAATGTTTCTAGGATAGATTATTAAAATAATAAATAATCTTCGCTGTCAATCTTTATATATAATAAGATAATCAATATAGATTCATCTAGAAATCGATTTATATAATAAATAACGAATTTCTGACCAAATGCAAGGAGATAGTTAACTATTTAAATTTTGACTTGAAAAAATAACAACAAAGATTTAATATGAAAGTTTGGTTTTTTTTGAATTCTACGAATATGGAAACTATTCTTTAAATCTATTTAAATAATATAAAACGTTTGGTTAAATTTGAAAAATTCTTTTTAACAATTTGAATACTCTTCAAAACAAATGATATTTTATTTCTAAATAAAGATTTTTTTTAATGAAAAACAATAATATATAATTATTATCTTAACTCGACAATAATAACATAAAATAATTTCATTATAAAACTATAGAAAAATTTTTAACAAAAAAAAAACACCAGCAAAGGGTTAACTCAATTAAATTAAAATAAATAAATTGAATAAAATCTTATTTCTATCAATATTAGTCTAACCATTGAAATGATTTATTATATTAATATAAGATTTCATTTATTTATTTAAGAGTTTGATCTATTTCAATAAATATTTTCCATTCGTATAATATATGTTAAATCAATCGAGTTATTTTGATTTATATTGAAAATAATTCTTTGAATATATTATATCTTTCGAATATAATTTATCAGTGTTTTTTTCC